AGAGGAATTTCACAAATTTCTCTCGCTTACAGGAATTTCTTATTATAAATGAAATCAATCCTCAAACGAACTTCTTTGAAATTGTTATTGCTAATTTGCAAGTATTGTAAACTATTTTCCTGATATTAACTCAGATGACTTATATAGCTGGATGGTGGACCCGTTTTCATGCGACCGAAAAAATAAACCTGTCCGAATGGCAAATGAAGTTTTTTAAAATCTACTTGATATAAGCGAAGATAGCAGTTTAAAACTTAACCCTCGAGCGGGCGCGCCCGTGTATTTTGTACACGTCCAGTAGAAAAAGTCATCTAAAAATAGAAGTGTCGTCAATCTGGCGATATCGTCGCGTCTATTCGTCCAGTAGAGATCTGTCGTTCGAATAGTTGAGTAATAGTTTTTGTTGCAGCTGAGTTTTGTGAGAATTCTTAGAAATACGAGAGTGTGACGGTTTTGTGTACATAATACACGGCGCGCCTTCTAGTGTAAGTATTTTATCCATTAACTACTTTACTTTATAAAAAGTTGTAATTCGAAATAAAGTCAAATTAACTTCAGTTTTACTTTATTTTAGGTTGAACAGGATATTGTAACATAATTGAGAAGGAATATAACGGCTACGCTGAGAGAATATCATGTAAGAATTGAGTTGCATTGTTATATTATTTGTGTGTTACTTTTTTTTTATTTTTGCAGGGCTAGAAAGAAGTTTTTAACTGAGGCTGAGTTATATAAAATTCTTAATGAAGACCCAGAAACAGAAACTAGTGAAATAGAATATTCCGATAAATTTGAGACAGATGAAGAAGTAATACACCATGATGACCAAAATTCTGAATCTGAACAAGAACAGAATGACCACGACAGAGCCGGTAACTTCGAGGATAACACTGCAGTAAGTACGACAGAATTTTCAGCTTTTGAAAAAATTATAGATTTTGATATATTAAAGAACATCGTACAATTTACTAATTTGTACATTGATAGTAAAAAAGAATATTTTCAATATAAAAGAGAACAAGATATGAAACATACTTCAAAAAGTGAAATAATGGCGTTACTGGGAGTGCTTTACCTCCTAGGCACTAAAAAGGCTAACCATACTAACGCACTTGAACTTTGCACATCTGATGGAACAGGTATAGAAATTCTTAGAGCTGTAATGAGTTACAATAGATTTTTATTTTTGTTACGTTCAATGCGCTTTGATGACAAAACCACAAGACATGAACGGAAAAAATATGACAAACTTGCACCAATTAGAAAAATATTGGACGCATTTGTTAGTAACTGTAAAAATTCCTATAATCTTGGTGAATTTGTTACAATAGACGAAAAACTAGAGGGATTCAGAGGACGTTGTAGTTTCATCCAGTATTTACCAAATAAACCAGCAAAATACGGTATCAAGCTGTTCATTTTGGGCGATGCACAAACTTACTTTGTTGGAAATTTAGAGGTTTATTGTGGACGGCAACCTGAGGGGCCTTATGCTGTATCAAACTCTCCCAGTGATATTGTAGATAGGCTTATTGATTATATAAAAGGTTCAAATCGCAATTTGACAACCGATAATTGGTATACCAGTTATCCTTTAGCTATTTCCCTTTTGGAAAATAAAATAACTACAATTGGCACTTTGAGAAAAAACAAAAGGGAAATACCTATTGAATTTTTACCCCAAAAACAAAAAGAAGTGGGAACGTCACTCTTTGGATTCCAGAAAAATGTCACTTTGGTTTCATTTGTTCCAAAAAAAAGTAAGTCGGTCATACTTTTATCCACGATGCATGACACTGCCACCGTAGACGTCGAAACTAAAAAACCAGAAATTATTCTAGATTATAATGCCACAAAAGGCGGTGTGGATACTATTGACCAAATGTGTGCATCATATTCTGTAAAAAGAATAACCAGAAGATGGCCACTAATTATATTTTTTTCTCTAATGGATATGGCGGGTATCAACGCGCAGGTGTTGTTTTGTGCCAATAAAACAAATCCCAAAATATGTCGCCGAATTTTTCTAAAGAATTTAAGCTTGAGTTTAATGAAAGTACATCTTTCAGAAAGAGCGACAATGCGATATCTTCCTCAGGATATTCAAGGTTTTCTAATGAAATATAAATCATGTGAAGAACCTACTAGAACAGAAGTGCAAAGCTCTAGAAAACGTGGACGTTGTGCAATATGTCCAGGCTCAAAAAATTCCAGCACAACAGTTAGATGTGGGCTATGTAGAATATTTGTATGTAAAATGCATTCAGAAACCACAATTACCTGCGTAAAATGTAAGAACAATGAACGGCAGCAATCAGAAGAAATCGAGTGAAGTAACCCGTAGGTACATGTTTTATGTTTATTATTTTATGTAACAATAAACTATTTTTGTAAATCGTGGTTGTCATTTTGTTAAAACGCACTAAATTTGGTAAAATCAACTAAAATGTGTTTTGTGTACAAAATACACAGCGCGCCCGGTTATGAAACGGTAGTCGGCGCGCCTGCTGTAGGGTTAAATATCGTGAAGGAAACCAAGAAGAGTTCCGGATGCAGGTATATTCAGAAAATAATGTTTGCAATATTGCAGTGAATAAACTTGTGTGTTTCACATCGACTTATCTCTGTGAGTCTTCTTTCTCCGAATATACTTACATTAAAAACAAATACAGGAGTAAACTTCAAGCATCAAGGAATTTGAGGAACTTATACAGATTCCCATTTAAAAAAATATAATGAACACATCATCGAAACAGTTCCAATCATCACATTAAGTAAGCATATTTGAATATAAAATGTACTGTATTGTACTGTGTTAAAAATTCCTTATTTATAGACAATAAAGGAATAAAAGGAATTTTCAACAATCGACCGAATAGAGCAGAACAATTTAGAACGAGATCTTACAGCCTACACAAGGAATAATACGAGGAAAATAACAATACCATACATAAAAGGATTACCAGAAAAACTTAAAAGGATAGGAAGTAAATTCAACATTTTAACAACATTCAAAGCAACAAACACATTGAGAGCTATTTTGTCTAAAATAAAACCCAACAATGAACAAGAAAGGACAAAGAATTGTATTTATAAATACCTTGTGAATGCGATCAGTTTTATTTGGGTGAAACATCAAGATCATTAAATGTTAAGGTGGGTACACATATGCTCCGAATGCCGTCTCGAACCCCGTCGCGTTCTCAAGTGTGGACGGAGTCATGCAACCGCGTACCGTACCTCGACGCGTCAACAACGTACATCGAAGCGATCCATCGGTTGTCGGTAAAATGCCTTCGCATCAAAAGAAATTTGAGCGCGACAATGTACACCGCGAATTCATATTTGGACTAGCTTGCGAATCTTTTATCGAATCTCCAGTCATTCAAAATAGTCAGTCTGTTATTTTGAAGGTTGAAGGTGTTTTTAAAGTTGAGTGCATCAAGGTGGAATGGACGGAAGAGAATAGTTTACTCTTAATCGAAAACTATCGGGAAAAAGAGATATTATGGGACACAAATAATCCCAGATACTACAATAAAATAAAAAACGAGGCATGGGAAAAGATTGCTTCTAAAATGGAAATTACAGTGGATGAGTGTAAAAAAATGACCAATTTTCTATCTGGATTACGGAGAGAAAAAGAAAAAATAAAAAAAAAGTAAAAGCACAGGAACAGGTGAGTGGTTTATGAATTTTTAAAGATATCCTTGTGAAATTTTTATAGAACCCACTGATCGACTGAAATTTTAAATCCAAGAGTAAGTGATTGCCACCATATTTCTCCCTACTTTTATATATTTGTGTTTGCCACCATCTTCTTTCACGAATATTTTTCGTTTAATTAACTGAATAATGCATAAAAATGTAGGCTGCTGCAGTAAGATCCATCTTGCACATGCGAATTCAACTCAATTACTGCTGGAACGCTTAAAGGTTTGGTACAAAGTACGGAGCGATGTTCGGTTCGTTACTTATTTCAATGCACCCTGTAACAACGTCGCGAACTTCTGTTGATCGCGTCGCTGTACGCGACGGGGTTCGAGACGGTATTCGGAGCATATGTGTACCCACCTTTAGAGTAAGTGGATATCAATCTTATATAAAAAATAGAGAATTTGATAGATCTCAAATATGTAATCACGCATGGGATAATGAACATAGGGTTCAATGAAATGATTAAAATATAGTCCTAAAAGAAACGGATGGTAAAAAGAGAAAAATCAAAGAAGCGGCTCTAATTATGCAAATGAGAGAATTGTGTCGCAAATTCTTCGGCAGAATGTAGTAGGATCTGGTTACCCATATTAAAAGAGTAAGTTATTAAAAGAAAAATGCCAGTATTAGTAAGTCAAACATAATAACAAACTAACTAACAAACTAACTAACAAACATGTATTTAAATAACAAACATAATAAATCAGAATTTGGTGTTTATTGAAACTAAACTAAATGCACGACCAAGTACTTACCATATTGGGATAGTATTGTGAGGTTTTTGTCCCCCATAATTTGCTATGGAATCACCAATAGTAGATTTTTACTGTCATCATGGCATGTGTTTGTCTTTATAAAGACGAATTACATGCTATGATTTTTTCTGACGGATATGCTCAATTTAAAGTTGATTTCATGTAATCGAATGAACTATATTACAAGTAAAGTCGTCCCAGGAACGCAACTCAACAATATTGGCAATATCATTTTAAAGTCGTCTACTTTAAAATGTATAATGTATGTCTGAATTGTCAATATAAATGAGTCAGATAAAATTAAATTATTAGAAGATTTTTTCACCAAGTAAAAAAAAAACAAAATTTGTTTAATTTACTAATGTTTGTATTTTGAGAACGATTTCCGAGGTGGAAATTGAAACGTCAATAAACTTACTTAATTGTGGCTTATTCCTATTTAAATATTAATTACTAGTAATGTTTGGATTATTTTTCTTTACTGTTTTGTTCATCAAATTGACAATAAGTAAGTAAAAATCAAACAAATTTTGACAAAAATACTATATTTTAAAAAAATAAACAACAAAAAAGTTATTTTTATTTTTAAACACACTATAATGGTAAATGTAATGAGTACGAAATGAGACAAGTTATTGCATTTTATTAACTAACAAAAGAGAATGGGTAACTAATAATTTTGCATCGTCTTGTAACTGACTATCTTTTTGAAGTGATTCTAAATTTTTCTTGATTTGTTCTGTCACCTTAAAAAATTTATTTCTAGGACCTGTGGAAATTACTATCAGTATGTCAAATATACATTGAATGCGAAGGTGACTTTTATCCTTTAATAAATCATACAACAACCTATGCAGAACGCCTATAGTACATATATTGTGATTAAATAGTTGTCCTACAAGGGTAACTACCGTTCTTGCTACCTTTTTATTATCGGTGACCGCAGTACTGCAAGTTGTTTGCTGATTGAAGATATTGTCGAAATGATTTTGTAAGAGATTAATTAATTTTTTACGAACTTCAGAAGATTTTTGCTCACTACTGTTAACACACAGTTTAACTCCTACTGCTTTGTGTAAAAACCAATGATCATTTAAACTTTTTTTAAAAATTATATCCGCACAAAATGCACTATCATCTTCATCAAATTCTTTCAATACACAGGCAATACTATTGACTAACTCTGGCCCGCTTTCCGGTTTCAACATATTGATAAGATTTTTTATTGTCGTGTGAACTTCGTTCTTATTCTCCTTATTAGTAAAGGATTCCTTATCTTTAAGCACTGACTGCAATGTATTCACCATGTTTTCGTTTTTCTGTAAAATGCCACTAATATGTTCTTGCACTTGATTGAGTTGAACTTGTTGTTCTTTTAATACACTTAACATTTCATTTGCTTCTTTAAATGGGCAGTGACAAAAATCATCTTCACTACAATCTTGAGGTGCAATAGATTCACTCATCTTTTAAATATATCTTCAACGACTAAGTTTTAAAACTTTAAATAACGTATATTCAAGGTAATTGAAAAATGTTAAAATAACACAAATTTAATATAAAGTACCACCAACGATAAAATGGTTTATTAGTAGAGATACGATTATAATACAAACTACAAACACATATTCCATTTGCAATTTACCAGTGTAAATTTCCATATAACGTCGCGATGTTTTATAACTAACTTATTTGTTCCACTGGATTGCCTCTCCTCTGTCCTCTGTGGTTTGTAGTAGCCCGACAGTGTTGCTCCGTATACCGATGTTTCCTAAAAGTCCGGTTTTGTGCAGATAATAAATAATGTTTTAACATCAATATTTGTGTTCATTAGGTATTATTTGAATTATTAAATTTATACTTAAATACATTTATTATTCCAAATATTGTTTACAATTTCAAATTAAAAAGAGTGTATTATTATTATTATTATTTTATTTTTGAAATTCCTTTTTATTTTTAAAAAAGAGGTTTAATCTTTGTAAGAATGTATATTTAAAAAACCCTTAAAAGGGCTACATCAAAAAAACAAACGTTCTCGGAATAATAATTCCATCATCAGGTTAAAAGCAGATTAACATGCTTGAGCCACCAAAATATTAGGGTAAAAACCCTTTAAAGGTATAAAATAAAGTTACTAAAGATTGTACATATTGTTGTTAAAAATTAAAGATGTTTAATATTTTATTATATTTTACTTCAGATAACGTACACCCATGCCTTGTAGACCTCTTCAAACGGACTTCAGCTGGTAACTGTTGAAGTTACGGAATAACATCCTCCTGATTTCAATAAAGAAACGAAATTAGCAGAAACAGATTGGGTAACTGGGTTCAGAAAGCGCCACCTTGAGCTTGTGTTAAGAAAACCTGAGGCGATTTCAGCAGCAAGGGCGCAATGTTTTAACAAAACGAATATAACCAAGTTTTTTGACATTTTGGAGAATGTTCAAAACAGCACTTGTATCCTCCTCATATGATTTACAATTTTGATGAAACTGGACTTATGACTGCCCAGTCAAAGTCTTTACAGACAGTCTAATAGCTTAACAGACAGAAGTTTACTGACGCGGATTTTGCTGCAGTTATGACTACAGAAATTTCCGTGCAAAATTATATCTCTCTTCACGAAGCTGGAAATCAAGAACTGGTTATTAAATACCAAGAGGAAACTTCTGCTTTGGTGCCAAGAAAAGATTTAGCAAATTCGCCACAAAATATTCCTCGGCGTCAAAAGACACCACTTGCAAGTACAGAGAATTCGCCTTCTGGAGAGATAGATTTCCGACCAGCAACCTCTGCATTCAACGTTTCAGTTGGTATGTTTTTTAATAACCACAGACAAAATGTCACTGTAGGATCTAGAGATCCAAACTCACTAAATCAATTTAAAAATGCCCTAATTTTGACTATTACAAAGTTAATTATGGATATTAAGGTAAAAAATGTAATTGTTTCGTTTATTTGAACATAGCGAAGTCAAAAGTAATGAAATTGCGGATACGGCCACAAAAAGAACACAGTATTTTATTTAGAATATTTGAATAATGTTCTCAAACTATAATATCAGTAAATGGAAAGTTAATTACAAAAAAAATGGCAAATAAATCTACAAATCATTATTTTAACATTCACCTTATACTTAAAAAAAAAGTGGAAATATTGTGGAGCAGCAATGACAGAACAATTAACAACATTAATTAATAAAATTATAAAACACGATAAAATACCGGAAGAATGAAGAACGAGCGAACTAATTCTACTATTCAAAAAAGGAGATAAAAACAGCCAGAAAACTACAGAGTTATAAACTTGTTAAATACTACGCTAAAACTTACAACTAAAATTTTACAAGTAGTAATAAATCAAAGGATAAGTTTAGCAGATAAACAACATGGTTTTCGTAGTGGAAGATCGTGTACAGATGCAATATTTGTTAGGTTATAAAGCAAATTACGGAGAAATCACTAGAGTATAATAGACCAGCATTGCTGTGTCTGATTGACCTAAAGAAAGCGTTTGACAGAGTCAGACTCAAAGATGTAATTGATCTTCTGTATAATAGAGAAGTTTCCCTACATATTATAAAAACTATCGAAAACTTAGACTACGAGAAAGCTTTTGACAGCCTTGGGCCCAGAAAGAAGGACTGTCAAATCTCAAGAGCGATAAAGATGAGGTTGATCAACTGCTTAATATTCCCAATACTGACCTACGGATGTGAATCTTGGACTCTGAGACAATCGGAGAGAAGAAAGATAGACGCCACTGAAATGTTCTGTTGGAGACGAATGTTACGAATTCCTTGGACCGACCGTAGAACAAATAATTCAATTTTAAGAGAGCTAAAAGTTAGCCAACGACTCTCTAGTAAAGTCCATCTCCAACAATTAAAATATTTTGGGCATGTTATGAGAGCAAACACAGAAAACATGGAAAGACTCATAATACAAGGAAAGGTAGAAGGCCGAAAATCACGAGGAAGATCCCAACAAGATGGATAGATTAAATTACAGGAATATGCCAAAGACCTTTGCATGAATTAAAAGAAATGACCAGAGACAGAGATCTCTGGAGACGGACAATACACTCCCCCTGGGGGGTCAGGATTGAAGAGAGAGATAGGATATTAATACATAATATATATATCAACACGCTAAAATAGTAGTCACGATGGACAACGGAATTAAAACGAGGCCAGTAAAAATCAACCGAGGAGTAAGACAGGGAGACACCATATCTCCAAAACTATTTACTGCCGCACTTGAAGACATCTTTAAATCACTAAATTGGGAAACGACGGCACTATCGATAAACAGAAAGTATTTAAAACATCTAAGATATGCAGATGACGTAGTACTAATAGCCGACAGCAGGAAATAACTGAAGACGATGATCGATGAGCTTCATACGGAATACATAAAAAAAGGACTGAAAATGAATCTGAGTAAAACTAAGCTAATGTAGAATAAAGATGATCAACTGACGATAACCATCCAAGGAACAAAAGTGAAACATGTAGAAGAAAGAATACATATACCTGGGTCAAAATATCAAGGTAAACAAAGAAAACCAAACTACCGAAATAAGCAGACGAGCAAGAATGGGATGGGCCGCATTTGGAAGACTCTCATACATACTGAAAGACAAAAAGATACCCCAAAACCTTCGAACCAAAGTGTTCGATTCTTGTATCCTTCCCGTTCTCACTTACGGATCTCAAACCTGGACATTCACAAAAAAGAACATGGACAAGATTCGAAAAACTCAGCGAGCCATGGAACGACAGATGCTTGGTATCTCACTAATAGATCGGCAAACGAACGAAGCAATCCGGAACAAAACAAAAATAAAGGACGCCGCGAAACAAGCAGCTAAATTAAAATGGAAATGGGCTGGACACAACGAACGTCTCGAAGATGGTAGATGGAACAAAGAAGTCGGAAACTGGCGACCGTACGATGCGAAGAGACCAAGAGGAAGACCTCAAATGCGCTGGAGCGACGATATCAAAAGAGTCGCAGGACCAATGTGGAAACGCCTAGCACACAACAGGGATGAATGGCGAGAAATGGGAGAGGCCTTTATTCGACAATTCGGATAGAAAAAGGGCTATAAAAAAATCGAAAACATCTACCAAAACAACAAGTGAAAGTGAGAATAGATGGACAACTTACAGAACCTACAGAAATAGGCAGCGGAATAAGACAAGGCATTCATTGAGCCCCATGCTCTTCAATTTGATCATGGATGAAATCATCAAAACCGTTAACAAAGGAAGAAGATAAAGAATGGGAAACAAAGAAATCAAAATACGTTACACAGACGACGCAATATTGATGGCATAAGATGAAGATAATCTGCAAAGACCGTTCCACAGATTTATTCATAAGAGCAAAATAATTTAATATAACAATCTCATCTCAGAAAACTAAAACAATAGTAGTCAGCAAAGAACCAACCAGATGTAAAATAGAAATTGATGGCATCAGTATTGAACAAGTAATGGAAATAAAATATCTGGTAATTACAAATACTGGACAAAAAAGTAAGAGAACATGTACAAAAAGCAAATAGACTGGCAGGATGCCTTAATAACACTATATGGCGAAACAGACACATTAACACTGAGATGAAATCAAGAATTTATAAACTCAGTGTAAGACCAATAATGACATATGCCTTAGAAACAAGACCGATACAGCCACAACGCAAAAGCTACTGAAAACGGCAGAGATGAGAGTACTGAGAAGAATTACAGGAAATACGCTGAGAGATCGAAAGAGAAGTGAAGACATTAGAAGAAAATGTAACGTACAGTGTATAAATGAATGGACACAAAATAGAAAAAATAAATGGAATAACCACATAAGCAGAATGGAGGAGACCGTGTCGTCAAAATAGCAAGAGATAAGTCACCAATCGGCAGAAGAAGTATCGGACGACCGCGCAAAAGATGGAGTGACAACCTTCCATAGAGTATTAATCCACCAATGAACAAGCAGAATTGCTTATAAAGAGGGAGGAAAAGAAGAAGACTTTTAATCATACTAAAGCATAAATGCCAGTGTTGACTCGTTTAAAATTAAACCATGGTCACTTTCAATCGCACTTATATAAAATTGGAATACCTAACTTTCCTGTCTGTATTTGCGAGAACGTATTCATTGGTGATTTAAATCTTATATTCCTCGAATGTTCTCTGAACTCTTGATTTTCTTCAATTCTATATCAAGAACTAATTCACAATGAGTTTCCATTGCCGCTAAATATTACAGCTCTCCTGTCTGCCTCAGATAAATCGGTACTGATTGCATCATAAATGTTATAAGAAATGCAAAACTATTGGTATAGATTAAAGAAACTGAGAACATGAAACATTTTATTGATTAATAATTTTTATCTTTTACGGCAAATAGATTGTTTCTGATGCTATGATCCCACATACACACATAATTTCGATTTTGAGATTTGGCAACCTATATTCAAAGACTGAAAAAACTATCCCAATTCTGTATTATAAAAAGTCACACTAGTATTGACATGGACTAACTAACTTATATCAGTGTATTAAAATAAACGA